TTTGTAAATTAGTATTTAAAATACCAGAATGCAGCAAAGGATGGCTAACTGTTAACAAAAAAAAAAAATTATTTTTTCAACTTCAGAAATAGCGTATAAATCATAAAGGTATTTTAAGATATTTATGATAGAGCAATAATAAAAATGTTGATAGTTTTTCTTCACAATTATTTTTCGGAATATCAATATTTTATTGGTTTCAAACACTAACTTGTACTTAAGAATTAAATCAAAATAATTCTAGTAAACATTTTGTGTATCTTCAACTATATTAATCTGCTTACACTATTCAGGCTTGAACCCCTCCATTTTGTTAATGATTAAAAAAAAAAAATAGTTACTAAAAATAATATTAACTGTTAGAATCAACTTTCGTCTATTTATATAATTAATTTAAATTAAAAAAATATAAAGCATATTTCTTTTTATTCTTTGTTCAATTATGCTTTTAAATTATTTTATTTTTTTAATCTTATTTATTGAAAAATATTACAATCTGTCTCAAGGACATTTATAATAGTGCTCACAGATCACATTCACACTCTATGTACAGTAAATAAAATAAATATTTTTTACCATTGCGTATCAAATTGCATAGTGCATTATAAATTAAAATTTTACTTCGCCTTCGTCGTGTGAACCTAATTTTTTTTTATTTGTTTCAAGTTACTTTGTTGTAAAATAAAAAAAAAATATTACCATTTTTTTTTTATTAAACAATTTTTTTCAAATCTGTTTCAGATTTTGTATCATATGACAATATAGATAATTATTATTAGCTTCTTTAGACTCAAAGCTAGCTTATTTATGTGTGGGAAAAAAAAATCTATTAATGAAATTTTAAATACATAACTATCAATGAGATTACTTCGATTCCTCTTATCCAGTGACTGAGAACAGTTACGAATAGGGCGCTATAAACAGGATGCAGTTACCGTATAGAGATAACTCGATGTTAGTTATCATAAGTTATTCATTATCATATACTGCTAACATTCTCGGTTATCTCTTCTCCATTGACAATATTATCGCAGGAATAAAAGAAAAAAAAATGTACAGGTCATTAGTGGGTTTAAAATAAGATTACCTTATCCGTTATGATTATTCTTTCTACAACACAGTAAGACATTGCTATTTTCTCTCCTGATAGGTATATTTAGTTTTATTCAAGAAGGTAACAGTTTATTATTGCATACATTTATTTTTATTATAATACTTAATGTCATTTGCACCTGTGCTGGAGCACTTCTAGCAAGTTTAATACATTATGCATTAGTTAGGTATCGAGTTTGCTTGATTAGAGTAATTTTGGTTTTATTGTATGAGTAGGTTCCTTGGCCATTTTCTTTTTAGTCTGCGTCGGTCAGGTAACAGGGAGCATGAAATATAAAGGAGTTATGGATTGAAGTGATTTAGAATTGAAGAGTGAAATGAAGTGCATTTGTCGTGGATGTAGGATTTTACTGTTGAGATGTTTAAGTCATTATGTATAATGATATCTGAAATGTACCAAGGTGCGTTGACAATTTTTCGTAGAATTTTGTATTGTGTTGTTTGTAATTTATTTATGTGTGTTTTTGTTTTGCCGAACCCCAAAATTCTGCTCCGCATGTCCAAATTGGTCTCAGTGTGGTGTTGTAGATTAGTCGCTTGTTTCTAAGTTAAGTAAGGATCTGTAGTCTTGAATATGTGAGAGTTGGTTGTATCGTCTATTCAGTAATTGTCTTTTTAATTGAGTATGTATATTTGAGGTAATTTTTTTGTTTAAGTAGAGTCCGAGGTACCGTATATTGTTCTTTGAAGGCACTGGGTTATTGTCAATCGTTATGGATGGATATGAGGCTTTCTTAAGAGAAAATAACTCATATTATTATATACATATATTGATGATGTTATATATATTAAAATGTTGTTATAGATATATTAACTCATATTGTTATATACATGTATTGATGTTTAATATCATTGTATATATTTTTATATGTCATTACTTATGTCATATCGTCGTGGAGATTGAAATGGGTCGTGTGACTCCGTGCTGGAAGGAGAACGAAGTTAATAGAGTGCTAAACTCAACGGCCAGAGCAGATGATAGTGTATATAAATATACATTCAGTTTCAGATAGAAAGAAATACGCAACACTTCTATATATCTTAACTTGTGGTTCTCTATGGTGTTTTGTTATTGTTCTTCAATAATAACAAAAAGTTGTATTTATTATTTTTTTATGATTATATAGACAGATACATACTGGAATTATATAGATAGATAGATACATACAGGAAGATATAATAATCCTATTTACTAGATGTTTTTATAATGATTTGGCAGTTCAACGTTGGCGCCGGATCAGATTTACAAACTTCTGAAAGAATTCATGTATATATGTGAAATATTTATCATTCTTATTTGTGAAATATTTTAGTTAAATAAAGTAAATATCTCTTTATATACTTCTAAAGGAAAATATTTACTTGACTTCAAAGATTTATTTTTTATCTTAAGTATTTAAAATAAATTATAATTTATCAGCACTTAAGGAATTAACTAAAACATATAGACGGTAATTTCCCATTACTTCAATACATGTCTGAAATATTTTCTACACAAAACTTCAGTGGTTACAAATCTTAAATAAGTACAATTTTCTTGAATATTTAGTTATTTTTAACTTATTTCTTGAGAAATATTAAAATCTGTCTCAAAGGACATTTATAATAGTGTTCAGAAATCACATTCACACTCTATGTACAATAAATAAAATAAATCTTAAATAAATTTAAAATAAGTAGAATTGAAATACTAGGTGATTAAAATTGTATCGTTTTAAAATATTTTTCTTCCAGGTCTGGTTGAAAATGATATTTACACCACTCCGGCTTTAATCCTTCCAAATTACCATAACATCTATTTTTGTTTTTTTCCCAAACAAAGTTTCTGATATGAGGGTTGTTAATTTGATGATCCATTATTGGTTTTATCAAATAACCTGTCCTTCTTTCGCCTAGTTATGCCCTTTTTTTCAAAAAACTTCAAAAACGTCTCTCCCGATAGATTTTACTCTCAAACGACAAATACAGAACTTGAAATATAGCTTATGTAACCAACAGAGAAGATCAGGAAGATACATTGATCCTACTTGATAGATGTTTTTATTATGATCAAAAGGCATTCAACGTTGGCCGGATCAGATTTACGAGTTTCTGAAAGAATTCATGTATATAATAATCTCAAATTAATAAAATCAAGAGTTTCATATTTTGTTGAAATTTACTAGATAATTTATAGTTCAAGTTGATAAATATATGTTATGTGTATGTGTGTGTATATATATATATATATATATATATATATATATATAACATATAAATATATGTTAGAAATCTAAGATTTGGGCTGTGGGTGGGTCCGTCGCAGTTGGGGCCGTAGACCACAGTTAGGTCGATACAGTCTCTTCCCGGTGGACCAGTCTAGTCTTAACTATCTTATATTTATATTGTTACTATTCTTATGTACATGTTATCAATATAAACATAATATTTATAAACCAAAAATCTTACTCAGAAGACACATCTCATTATCTTTTCTAGCAATGTTAGTATTCAAATTTACATTTGGTTTTCATCGCTGGATTTACGATAGCATTTTTTGTCCCAATCTTTAACTTTTTTTTACCTTAAATTTCGGATGAGCCATTTTGGAAAAAGAAGCCTCACTTTAAATAAGATTTCTTGTTACTTTTCGTTAGTTTTACAACATATTCTTCTTAAAGGCTACCTTCCTAAATTTCACCTGTAATGTTCGATTTTATGTATTTATCTGTAAACAAAAACATTCATTTGAATTAGATAGAATAACAGTTACTTGAAGTCTTAAATGCTTCGAACATTAACAATTATTTGATTGCGAAATAGTCTAAAAATATGCAGATTTTTACTGAAGCCAATAAGAAACGGACCGTAATACATTTCACATTTCGCACTACACCGTGATTTGTCCGTAAAATGGAAAGAGGAAGAAGATGAGGTCGGCCCAGAAAAACTTGGAATGATGAAATGGAAGAATCTCCGATGAGACATGGATATGCGGGAGGAATGGGCTTTGAAAAGAAATATATGAGAAGGAACCTTAGAAAATCTTTAAGTTTAGAAAACCCACAGCGTTTGTGGAAATATCTTAAATAAAATGAATAAAGGTAAGGATTTAATCAATACCCTCATCGAATTAACATAAAAATCAATTTTTTTTTTTAGTTCTTTTCCTAATCTCCATTAAAAATTATTGCATTCTTAAAAAATAAATGATCCAGCCAAATCCAGTTATTTTTATTCTTAAGTTTTTTTTAATAAGATTTACATGCTTCAGCAATGTCATTAACTAAAATACTATAAGTTGTATGTGCTTTAGACTGTAAAGAAGGAAAATAAACGAACCGCGAAAAACGAAGAAAAAATCTTGAATTTTAATAATAATTGATAACCAATATTCAAATATACCAAAGTCTCTCGAGTAGCTGTTAATTACTAAACGGTCACCGTTGAGCTATTTCCGTAACACTTACACAACTGAAAATCACAAAAACCTTGTTACAACCAAATACAACATAAAATTATCTTTTATGACTGATATAGGCTAATCCTCTGAAATACATGTATAATCGAATTTATATCATAGATTATTACAAGCGAAATTCGAACGAATAGAAGACATTTTTTCCAAAGAGTTCTAAATCCAGTGTAAAGACACTGGTGCAAACAATTTGGAAAGTTATGACGCTTATGTAGCCATAATTCTGATTAATTTGCTTTTTATATTAAATTGTATAGTTTGGACTTGTTCCATTATAACAAATTTTTTTCCTAATTATTTAAAAAAATTCTTTTCTATTAATTTGTTTATCTGCAAGATCTGTACGTATTTTGAGGTTTGTCTTGTTTTCTCCCTAAAGCTGCTGAATCATTTCTGAGATTCGTTCGACGGAGCTTTGGGACCCGAAGCTATGGCTCGATCCGGTACCCTCGGATCGCCCCCTCGCTCGGATCCCGCATCCCTTCATCAGCTATTCATGACCCCCACGGGCCATCACCCCGGGCAGCTGATGGACAACCGCGGTGACGGACAGTTTGTTATTGTTGAGGTGCGATCTGCAAAAACTGCGGACGCTCTACACGCAAAGCCCCGATATAAAGGAGTCAGTTGTGCGGATGCGGGTACAATGGTTCCAATAAATAGCTCAACAGTTTGGAATTAATGCAAATCCTCAGGGCAGATGTACAACCGGTTCTTTACGCACGCGTCGCCGGCCACTTTGCAAGATGTTCACGTCGAGGGTCGTTTCTGGTGCGTGGCTAATCGGAATGTAATGCATGTTTTATCTGGAGGTGTAAACATTATTCTCTGTACTGCTTATTATCCTTTTACATTACCGTAATTCTGTACGCTTGATATCTACTTTCCACGGCTTGGAACTTAAAAAAAAAATGGTTATTTATAAAAAGTTTGAATATCATCAGAAGTTTCATTGTCGATACCTTTTTCATTCCTTTTAGAACTAGAATGTTTACCCTTGTAAGTTTTCAAGTGAAGGTTTGACAGAACTTTTATTTTAAAATCTTTTATTTATTTTAAAAGCTTTTTTTTTAAAGTTCGGTCGATTTTACTAAAAAGTCGATCTAAAAATGGCTTTTATTAACACACAAGAACTTGAATTAATATAAGTTGAACTGTTAAATCTTTCCTATGTTAATATTTTTTTTTTCTATTTGTGATTATGTGTAACTAGCAAAAAAATAAATAACTAAAATAGCATTTTTATGCTAACGAAATCATTTTAAAAAGCGGCTATCGCCTATCGGCTCGGTACTGGATTCGATTCCGGCTGTGGTAGATTTATTTATTCTGTAATATGAGCTGTGGAGGCTCTCTTGGGGGACACCCGACCCTCAAGTAATTGGTTAATCTTGATTGGGAAGGGAGATAGCCCTTGTTGAACGTCAATGCTTGTATAGACATTGGTCTAGAAACACTAGTTCCTTACAAATTAGTGAACCCATAGTCCTCCTAATAACTTATAAATGGTAAAAAAATTCTCTTGTAATTTTAAGTAAATAATCTAAGAGATAAAGTTGATTTATTACACATATAATTTGGCAATTTACTAAATTATCTGTGTATATATATATATATATATATATATATATATATATATATATATGAATCATTCTTTGTTCACATTTATAACGACTGTTAGGATTTTTAAAAAAATTATTTTTTTTTCTGTAGATAGAATCTTAGAAATATCTAGTGTTGCCTGAAATAGGTGTTGGTCTAGTATTTTGCAAGACCGAGACCGTCTAACTGTTGCAAGACCAAGACTGGTAAAAAAAATCGATATTTTCAAAATAATTTAATGAAAAATAGTTAGTAATACCTGTCAATTTTAGTTACTATATGTAAATAATTGGTATAAACAATATACTTTTGCATTTAAATCTTCTAATTTTGCATTCGATCTTAGTTAGGTTTATCCTATCTAAAAAGTTAGAGTAATATTTCTATAATAATAAGCTAACAGGAAACTGCGAGACTCTTTCCCAAGACCAGGCTCGTCTTGGTTTCGCATTTAGGACTAGATAAATATTTGCCAATCAAACTTAAACTTAAAGAATTGTTTGCAGAATGCTTAGAATTCATATTTTACGAAGACTTTTCAAATATGTGTGTAAATATATATATATATATATATATATATATATATATATATATATATATATATATATATATATATATGGTTTCAATCAAAATTAGGATTCGTCACTTCTCCATGAAGTTTCCATTCGTTTGATATCTCATACAATAAATAACACTATCTAAACTATCGTGTTAATATTAAAATTGACTTCTGCATGCTCTGAACTAAATCCAGAGTGCACTAATATTGTTAGTTCTCCTATTGTTTCGTTTCTTAGTGTTATTTAACATTAAGATATACGAACCATTCTCTTTTACCTATCAAATAAACAATGACCTCTTTATGCAAATGTGGAACAACCCAGCATCAACTACCTCTTCCGAAGTCGCCCATCCAGTTCGCGGCCCGGATCCTATGCTCTAGGTGAGAGCGGACTTAGGCCCTTGGTGTGAGTCAGCGGTTGGGAATCTCTTCTCCCCGCGGTGAGTCACTGTCTCAAGGAGCCCGCGGTGATTGGTGTGGGTGCGCAGTTGCGTATATCACCGTGCCCCGCAAGATATTGCGCCCCCCTTGTCCATTACCTCCAGGCGCCGAAGGGGATGCATTGAGCTGTTTCCGTTGGTGGAGAGGGTGGGATAGTTGTAGGATCGAATATAGATTGTGCTTGTTAGTGTAAATCGCTTTATCTGTTGACATTGATCATACTTATATTTTGTCGGTTTATTGAAAAAACTTGTCTACGAAGGGAGGTTGCAGTCAGTGGTTCGACCAATATTTTTGAAGTGATCCTGGCACTTAAATATAAAAAAAACCCTTAAATACGAATTAATGTATAGTAATATAATAATGCAAATTATTGCCCAACATATTTCGTCTAAGGGTCATTCCATGCCAAATCATTGCATGATTATACCACAGTTCAAGTTGACATTTTTTTTTTTATATTTCAGTTCTTTATTGAGAAATATTACAATCTGTCACATCTCAGGACGATGGTAATAGTGATAAAATAGTAGCTCATTCACACTCTATGTACAATCCTTATCCAGTTCCAGTCATCCCTCCAATCCTCTTAGAAGGTTGAAACGGCAGTGGCCTCGAGATCTTTTGTAAATACGTCACTGGAGTCCTGGCAATGGCCAGCTTCTCCACTCAAGTCATGAGTGTATGTGGCTTTAGTGCCCTCTTTAAGTGTCCACTGGATTCTCATCCCAGTGGTGAGGCTGAGAGAGAGGCGCTGGGATTTCTTGAAGTCTTGCCTTATCTTTCACGCGTGGGGGAAAGGGCCCGGACTCGGAGCTCCCTCGGCTGACTGTAAATATTGCAAATAAGTATGGATGTATTTTTATTTATTTTTTTAAATATATTTAATGTTGTCTCATGTTTGATTTATTCTGTCATTTCAAGTTTTCTTTTCTTTTCTTTTGTTATAACTTTCTATTGTTTTTATTTTATTGTATATACGGTATGATTGTTTCATACATCCCAAATACTCAATGCCTTATTATGCCCTTATTTGAGGCAACATGTATTTTTTCCCAATAAAAAAAAAAGAAGTAAATTACATAAACTAAACGAAACAAAAATAAACTAAACTAATCAAAATATATTTGATTAAATAATTAAACTACTTAAATACACACATGCTTTATACAATATTCATAAAATTCTCTCACTCATGATCTCCGACCCAAACCTTTCCCTCACTCGTTGAAGGAATATTTGAAATTCGAAACATAATTTGAAATTAAAATCAGCTTGTTTGTTTTTAGACTTTAAAAAAATAAATACTTATTGAATTAGTGCTTTCAGAATATACCCATTTGTTCTAAATTTTATGCAGAGTTAGACGATGCCATAGGTATAAAAAATTAGCATTAAAATTTTTCATCATCGATAAAATGATTCTTAAACATAAAAAAAATATATTTTTTCAAATTTGTGATATAGACATCGAAAAATATCTGTTGTTAAAATCTCTCTCCATGCACCCTGTAACACCCACATGTTAGTGAAAAGAGCATAGAATTCTCTATCAAATAATGATATAATATTATTAAGCTTTCGAGTTTAAAGATAATACAAATGAAGACCGTCTGCGTATATTGGCGTAATGATTTTACTAAACTTTTAAATATGGTATGAATGTGCCTAATACTCACTGTGGTAGATTATGTTATACCTCAATAAAAAGATTTAAAACAAAAAATCTAAAAAGAAAAACTTAAATTGTTTCAATTAATAGTATTTTATAAGACGCACTGTGTAATCCTCAGATGATGGAAGCGAAATCTATTTAGGGTTGCCATCCCTTTAGTTGTCTGTTATGCTCTGGCCTTTCCGTAATGATTCATCTCTGTGGTTTCGCAAATCATATAGAACGACCATGAACGAATCCAATGGACCTACCTTTATTCATCCGAATACCCTTTGACTTTTATAAGCGTTTGATCAAAACGGCCATGTTATTCTAAGTTACCAAAATGATGTTGGTTATTGTAATTCCATCTATCATTTTGAACCCTGGTTAAACAGACATGCTGTGCTAGAACGTTCCCTTTGCAGAGACCTCCATCAGGAATAAGGTTTGGTCCAAGGACTTCGGCCCCAAAATCCTTGAACTTTCTTGTTATTATCCTTCCTGTTCTTTTGGTCATATAAATTTATAATTAAAATAATGAAAATAATATTATCGTGATATTTTGTTATTCATGAATATCTTTTCTTATAATGTGTTTGTTTTTTACTTTATCATATTTATGATATTCAGCTTCGGGCAGTTCTTGATTGCCGGACTGTACCTAAGGATATTTAATTGCTGCACGCGTGAGCACAAACTGTGAAATAACACGACGTCATGTCCATCAGTCCATGTAAAACAACACTGAGCTCTAGAAAATAAGAATAACTGGACTCAATTTTCAGTATAAGCAATCTTTCTCCAAAGACGTTTTATATTGATGCTCAAACTTAAAGTTTTGAATTTTTAAATTGATGCTCAAACTTTCATACGCATGCTTGTACTAAATGCCATTGGAAATATAGGATATACATGGTTACAAAAGAGAAAAATAGAATAAAGATTTACTTACGAACATACATAACTAGTTAAGACAATCAACATAAATAACCGACAATTTATTTTTAACATTATATTTTTTTCTAAATCAACAAAACTGACTACAATCTTTTCAATCCAACGTTTCAAGACGAGTACCATACGCTCTCTCTGGTACTTTAATATCGAAATTTTGCGACTTACAACAACCAAAACCTCACCAAGTGGAAAGCAAATGGGTATTCATGAGTTTTTAGAACCCAGTTATATAGAAGTTTGCCGACCTCCTGAACGAACGCACCAATTTTTAGAATTTTCGTAAATAAAATATTTGTAGGTTACGATCAGATGAAGCTATTTACGAAGTTTCAGGCGGGTGTTAATACTTTGATAAAAAGGGGTCTGTATAACGTACTATCGATGGTCCTCTATTATTTAAAAAAAAATTAATATATATATATATATATATATATATATATATATATATATATATATATATGTA